AGAGACATCCGGTGCGTGCCAGGGACAGGAGGAGGACGCTGACGCGAACCGCGACCACTAGCGCGAGCAGCACGAACAGGCGACGTGGGACGAGACGCAGGCTCATGACGCTCAGCAAGACCCCTAGTAGGACCAGTGTAAGGAGAGGGAGCAGGCAGTGGAGAGGTAGGCTCCAACAAGGACTGCGACTGGACAGGCTGTGGACACTCTACGGGAGGAGCAAGACCAAGAACGTGCTGTAGGAGCGGAACGAAGTACGGCCGAGGCCGCGCGGCAACTCTAGACTCAGCAGGGACAGCACCAGCACCCTCAGCGGCAGCACCAGTACCACCAACACCTCCAGCGGCAGGACCTCTAGCAGCACCAGCAGCAGGACCACCGCCAGGACAGACAGCAGTAGTCTCAGCACCAACACCCTCAGAAGCTCCAGCTGCAGTAGGACCCGCAGGCCCAGCAGCTCCGGGATCGGCGGCACCAGCACTCTCGGTGGTCGAAGAAGCTCCAGCTCCAGCAGTACGCCTCCAGCGGCGAGCAAACCACTCGCGCAGCTCCTGTGGAGAGAGGGGCTCCCGCCGAGACGGAGCACCAGGAGAAACCCCAGGCTCAGCAGCTCCAGGCGCAGGACCCCCAGACTCAGCACCTCCAGGCTCAGTAGCTCCAGACGCAGCACCCCCAGGCTCAGCAGCTCTAGACTCAGCACCCCCAGACTCAGCACCCCCTAGCTCAGCAGCTCCAGGTACATCACCCCCCGGCTCAGCACCCCCAGGCTCAGCACCCTCAGTAGTAGCACCCCCAGGCTCAGCACCCCCAGTAGCAGCACCTCTAGGCTCGGCACCCCCAGGCTCAGCACCCCCGCGCACAACACCCCCAGAGTCAGCACCCCCAGGCTCAGTACCCGCAGCAGCACCAGAGTCACCAGTAACCTCGACCGGGTCAACGGCGTCTACCTGGGACACACCTGAGGGGGCAGGAACCTGAGGGGGGAGGGGGTCTACCGGGGGGGGAACCGGCACAAGGAAGTCCGGTGGCGGGGGGAGAGAAGGAGTGCGGTAGGGGAAGAGGCGGTAGAAGGGGACTGACTCATCGAACGTGACGTCCTGGGAGGTCAGAACACGACGAGAGGAGGGGCGGTAGAACTGCCACCCTGGAGCGTCAGGGGGGAAGCCAAGGAAGACACAGGGAGCAGCACGAGGGGACAGCTTGTCCGCAGACAAGTCGCGGACAAACGCCCGAGATCCCAAGACACGGAACGCAGACGCATCGCCGACCTTCCCCGTCCACAGCAAGACTGGGGACATCGCGGGCCGAGAGACCCTGGGGTGAAGGTTGAGCTGATGCGCCGCGTACCGAACCGCAAACGGCCACAGAAAATGGGGGGCAGCCGCATGCATCATGGACGTACGAGCGACATCCATGACCATGCCAATGCGGCGCTCAGCAATCCCATTTTGCTGTGGAGAGTCCGGTAGTGTAAAGGTCTGGCGGATCCCCCGTGCACGACAGTAGTCTCGCAGAAGGCGAGAGGAGAACTCCCCACCTCGGTCAGAGTGCAGACGCAGAACAGGAAAGTCCGAGCCGAAGCTCCTCCTGAGCTGGAGACGAGCCTCGCGGATCCAGTCGATCAGTACCGCAGTGACATCACCCTTGCTGCGCAAGGGGAAGACTGTGGTGTAACGCGAGTAGTCGTCAACCACCAACAGGAAGTAGCGCTCGTGACCTTGCCCACGGACGCGGGCCGGGCCCCACACGTCCATGTGAAGTGTCTGCAGAGGAGCCTCTGTCGGGGGAAACTGGGAGGAGTGAGGAGCAGCCCTGAGGCGCCCCTCGACACAGGGGACACAGGAAGGTCCTGGTCCCGAAGGAAGGGGAGGGAGAGACCGGGGAAGACCAGAGACAAGGATACGGGAAGCCATGCCCTGAAGACGGGACAGGGAGGGGTGACCAAGACGGTGGTGCCACAGGAGAGTCTCGTGAGACAGAAGGCGACACGAACAGGGGGCAGACTCAGGGCCAGACCGGGACGCAGCAGCAAACAACTGACCTGACGCAGCTACCTGACCAGACGCAGGGATAGGAGGAGACTCAGTGGTCAGGGTGTAGAGGCTCGACCCCGGCCGACGCGAGAACGTGGCCAGGTGCCGGCCTGTGCGTGCGTCCGTGCAGTGGGTCACCCGCTGACTCGCAGGAGTGAACTGGTGAACCCCCGCATCCTGTAGGTCAGCACCACTCACCAAGTTCGTCGAGAACGAGGGAAGGTACAGACCAGACAGGGTGCCCGAGGGGGCAGCCGGACACGGGAGGACAGTGGAAAAGTGAGAGAGGACAGGACCCCCAGAGGGGTCAGCCATGGAGACCGCAACCGGCCAACCAAGCGGCGTGAGGGTGGTGCGGTCTCGAAAGAAGGAGCGAGAAGCCCCTGAGTCAAGTGTGAAAGTGAGGGAGGACAAAGGCGACGCAGTACCTGAGAGCGCAATCTCACCAGTACCTGAGAGCGCAGACGCACTGGCACCTAGAGCAGCAGCCTCACAAGCACCTAGCGCAGCAGTACCAATGCCCGGGTCGGGCGGGAAACACCGGTAACAGTCACCCTCCTCACTAATAGTCACAGCATACATAGCAGCAAGGATAGCATCAAAGTCAAGATCAAAGATCGCTACACCAGCCCTAGAAAGCTCATCCCAGCGGGGAATCTCACTAGCCTCGGGGAACTGCTGACGCCAAGCGTCCGTCAAACGGCCAAAGCAGCGCCGGGTGGAGTGGGCACCCCCACACTGCTCACCCGCACGGTCGCCGGAACGAAGGACGTAGGTGCACGGACCAGCACCCCCACCCCTCTGACGCCGAGTGTACCACTCACGGAGCTGCTGGGGCGGAGGGATGTCCCGCGAACGTTGCTGCTGCTGCTGCTGCTGGCGCTGACCACTACCAGCACCGCTCCGCTGCGGGGCACCACCCCGACCAGCTCCACCTCCTCCGCCAACACCTCCTCCTCCGCCGCCTCCACCGCCGCCACCACTCCCACCGCTGCCGCCACCACCGCCGCCGCCTCCGCCGCTGCCACCACCACTACCACCGCCTCCGCCACCACTCCCGCCGCCACCCCCACTCCCTCCGCCGCCTCCACCGCCACCTCCACCGCCCCCTCCAGCTCCACCCGCGCCCTTGCCCCCCTTGCCCTTGCCAGAGCGACGTCTCCCACAAGGGGCAGACGCCGCGCCGACCGACTCAAGACCAAGCAGGTCGGCAGCAGCAGCAGAGGCAACAGAGGGCAGCAGGGGGGAAGGAGAGCACCCCTCAAAGATGGGGGTGCGAGGGTCACCACGAGAAGCTCCTACAGCGACGATGCTCTTCTCCGCCGCTAGGAGGGCCTTCTCGAGGAGGTCGACTGTGAGGGTGGTGGGACAGACTGAGAGAAAGTGGTCCCTAACTACGCGAAGGGAGTCAAGGAGGCGTGCTACGACGTAGTAGAGAGTGATGTACATGGGGGGGGGGGTTCTTGGCGCAGAACTCAGCAGGAAGGGCGGCGCGGTAGCGAGTGTCACTAGTGCGGAGGTGCGTAATGAGGTCAGCGACAGTGGGAAAGGCAGTGAGGTCAGGAAAGAGGTACGGTAGCATGAGACGGCTCAGTGCAGCAGTGGCAGGGGAAGAGTAGCGAGCAACTACAGCGTCGTACAGGGTCTGAGCACTCTTGTACTGACTAAAGTGCGCGCGCTCAGTGGTGGGCAAGTGGCGACGCACAGCAAGACGTGCAGCAGCATCGCGGGTGGCCCACTGAGAGCGAACAGTGGGGTCAGCATCAGCAGCAGGAGCAGGAGAGGCGCCAGAGGTGAGGTCAAAGAGAGAAAGACCGTCTGCCCTATCGCACTGCAAAAACAACTGCAGGTCGTCGACCTAGACCTCGAAGTCGATGGCTCTGCCCTCAGCGTCAAAAGCTAGGACACTGGGGGTAGCCATGACGACAGACTAGCAGTGCAAGCAGTGGGGAAAGGGCAAGCGGTAGCAGTGCTGTGCTCACCAGGCAGGGCAGGTCGGGCGACTCGACGGCTGCAGGACGGCACGGCCGTTGCGGGGCGGCTCGGCTGCGACTGGGCGGCTCGGCGGCTCCTGGGCGGCTCGGCTGCTGTTGGGCGGCTCGGCTGCTGCTGGGCGGCTCGGCTGCTGCTGGGCGGCTCGGCTGCTGCTTGGCGGCTCGGCTCCCGGGCGGCTCGGGTGCAGGGCGGCTCGGGCGGGGCGGCTCGGCTGCTCCGGTACCGGGTGGCGGGGCCGTGAGTGCAGGGGCGACGGGGCCGCGAGTAGGGGCGGCGGTGTCGCGGTAGTAGGGGTGGCGGGGCCGCGAGCGCCGGGGCGGCGGGGCCACGAGATCAGGGGCGGCGGGGCCGAGAGCGCTGGGGCGGCGGGGCCGCGAGATCAGGGGCAGCGGGGCCGTGAGTGCTGGGGCGGCGGGGCCGCGAGATCAGGGGCGGCGAGGGCCGCGAGATCTGGGGCGGCGAGGGCCGCGAGAGAAGGGGCGGCGAGTGCCGCGAGATCAGGGCGGCGGGGCCGCTGAAGTAGGGGCGGCGGGGCCGCGAGAGAAGAGGCGACGGGGCCGTGAAGGGGCGGCGGGGCCGCGACGGAGAGGCGAAGCCGCGACGGAGTGGCGGGTCCACGAGGAAGAGGCGGCGGGGCCACGACTGGGTGGCGGGGCCGCGACGGGGCGGCGGAGCCGCGACGTAGTGGCGGGGCCGCGACTGGACGGCGGGGCCGCGAAGGAGAGGCGGGGCCGCTAGAAGGGCAGCGGGGCCGCGAGGGAAAGGGCGACTCGGGGGGTCGCTAAAAAAAAAGGAGATCGCGCGCCTCGGGGCGCGCTTCGGTGGGCCCTAGGCGAAGTTCCCACAGGGAACCCGCTCTATACCATGTGAAAGTAATGAACAGGAATGAATGACTAAGGAAAGATTGGGGTACAAATACAACCTAGAAACCTGTACCCCATATGTGCTACCCCACTATAGCCTACAGCAACTATGTCATATAAATCTGACACATCGAGGCAGGCTCAGCACGGGGCGAGCGGCCCGGGCGGCGATGCGAACCAGGACGAGGACTCGAGCTCGGGATCGAGCTCCGGCTCGAGCTTGAGCGATGAGTCGGTCCAGGACGACGGCGAGGGCGCCGGACATAGAACGGAGCGTACGGGGGAGCACGGAGTGGCGCTCGGGGAGCAGGTGGACGAGCGAGTAGAGCTTATCGAGCAGCAGGCGACAGGGGAAACTAAGGCTGTCGAGGAGCAGGAGGGCGGAGCGGCTGCGCAGGAGGGTGGGATCGGAGGGCAGCAGCAGGTGGTGGGCGAGGCGGCTGCGCAGGAGGGCGGGGCAGGAGGGCAGCAGCAGGAGGGCGTGGCGGCTGCGCAGGAGGGTGGGGCAGGAGTGCAGCAGCAGGAGTTTAGGGTTGCGGCTGCGCGGGTGGGTGGGTCGGGAGGGCAGGAGCAGGAGGACGGGGAGGCTGCTGAGGAGTATCGTCGAGGAGATGAGCGACATGCCGCCGTAACAAGGAGTCACCGCACAGCCAGTGGCAGCGGACAGGCGGGCCCTTCGACCGGGTGGCCTTCGACGGCAGGCCAATCGACGGCGAACGTTGCACCCGGAGGCCAGGTCGTCGAGCTACTGCAGAGGGTTGAGAAGGTCGAGGTGTCGCAGAAGCAGCTCGTCGCCGATGTATTTGCGAAACACACTGAGCAAGCCGGAGTATTCAACAGGCTTGCTGCAGATTTTCGGACGGCGTGGAATACGATTTCGGAGTCGTCGAAGAGCACACTGTCGCAGTGCGCCGAGGCTGTGAAGGGTGTCACGGCGGAGAGGAACCTGTTGGAAGGGGCGCGGGCGAAGATCGACGAGATGAGCGGGAAGATCATCGAAGGGGTGGCAGCCGCCATCACAAAAGCGAGCGAGGACGCCGTCGAGAAGCAGCTCAAGCAGGTCGAGGAGCGGCTGGTTGCTGCGGTGCTGAAGGGTTTTGAGAAAGCCATCATGGAGGACATGTTCTGCTCCACCCTCCCACCCGAGACCATGAAGGAGCTGAAGGACATTGTGAGGGAAGGCTACCATGAAGCCGAAGCAGGGAGGTTGGAAGTCCTCACCGAAGCGATGGCGAGAAGTTTTCAGCGCTCTGCGGGCCCGTCGACGAGGTCGCGTCAGGAGGGTGTGGGAGGGGTTCGCAGCGGGGCTGAGCCTCGAGGTCACCAGCGGTCGGTTCCTCCGTCTTCTTCGGTGGGAGGACATGTCGGCAGCCCGGTTGGATCCCCACCGGCGCGTGGCCGTCATCCCGTCGCCAAGCCCGTCGAGGAAGTCATTGTACTCGACCAGTCGGCCCTCTCGAAGACCTCTGTAGCGGCTCCGATCGATCCACCTGATGCGTTTGCTTTGATGCGGGACATGCTGCAAGGCCTGGGGAAAACGGGTGGGAAAGGAGTGGTCGCGGGGGAGAAAAGTGGTGCCCCGAACGAGCACGTCGCCTCGATCGAGAACAGAGCCCTAGGAATGCGAGGTGCCTCTACCCCGTCAGGCGGCGATGCGGGGAAAGGAGCGGGAGAAGCAAGCGCTGGGTTGCTGTCGAAGACTAAAGCTACATCAGCTGCGCACGGCGGTGGTGCTGGCCTTGCTGTCGGGCTTGTGGGAAATTGGGCGTCTTCCTCAACCCCTCCAGTTGCTCCTATCGCCGCTGCTCCGTCCCTAGGCAACGTTTGCCTTAGCGATCCGGGCTCCCCTTCAACGTCGAAGAAGAAACCGGCTGGGACGAAGTCGTCGAAGCGCGCTACACACGCGACAGAGAGCCTTACGTGGTGGAGCTGGCCAGCGTCCCTGGTCAGGCGCCTGTCGAGAAGACCTCTTTTGTCGTTGCTGCTTGACAGGAAAAGGCGAAGAAGGCCAGGGTCACGGGTCACACCCCACCTCCTCGACCGGACGACCAAGGCAAGACGAGAGGCTGCAAACGTCCCTTCAAAGGACCGGGTTTCGGGTTGCGGAAGGGGAAGCCGGTTTCCGAGCAGACCGTCGGCGGGAGGAAGCGGTTCCTTGGCACTTTTGAAACAGAGAAGGACCTGAAGTTCTGTACGGCCGTCTGCTGGCGCGTGTACTTCCCCGACGTTGTCCTTACGGAGTACGAAGGGTACACGGCGCAGGATGAGGAGGACTGAAGGTCTACCTCGATGCGGCCGCAGAAATGCCAACCGGCGTTTGGAGCGTGGCGCAAGAACAAGGGGAATGTCGTTTCGACGAGTAAGTCCTGTCGAAGTCATGTTGCTAGACTCTGCTGTCGAATTCATGTTGTTTTGGTGAATTGTCGAACACCTGCTGTTTTGCGGTGAATGTGCTGTCGGTCGAATTCTGGCCTCTTGACTAACGCATTTCTTGCGATGTGCAGTTACCTGTCGCTGTTGGCGACGGCAAAAAAGGAAGTGAAAGCTGGAACCGAGAGGGGAATCGCGCTGTGCGTGGCGATTGGTAAGGTCGCGACGCTTGGCCTGAAGCACGGGAATCTGATTTACCCGGTCCCGAAGGGCATGGCGGCGACACCGCACATGATGGCCATCGCAGCAACTGTGGCGAGCTTGTGGGCGGCCTGCAGGAAGTTGTCGAGGGAGGATATTAAGAAGGATGCCCTAGCTGCCGCAAACGCGGCGATCTACGCCCCAGAGACTGCAAAGAAGGCTTGTGTGGCTGCCATGTCCGCACTCGTGTCCATACTTTTGCACGTCGGCAAGACGTTCCCGGTGAAGCAGTGGCCCGATCACCTGTATTCGTCGGCTGTCGAAGGTCTTGGCTCGACGGACGCCATACTGCTGCAGATGCTGCGCGTGGCAGCACATGTCTGTACGCAATGGTGCTGCTGTCGAGCTGCTGCCCGCTTGCTGGAGGACGCGGGCTATGGCAGCCTGGCTATGCCAGAAGAAAAGAGCAAGGCGAAGCAGGGCGACAAGGATGCAGCTGAGACGGAAACGGGCGGGCAAGGGGAGTAGTCTAGGCGGGCACTTTGCGTGGGGGTGTTTGCTATTCTCGACAGTTGTGTTTGTTGCTTCCAAAGTTTAATCGACAGAATGTACATGTTGCATGGATCTTGACTTTCCGTTTGCGATAATGCTCAGAAGGTTCATACAGGCGAGATGGTCGGTCAGTAATGAGAACCTGCCATGCAATCTCTGAAAGAACACCCTACTCTAGTTTCCCCCCTCGTCACGATTGCCTGTCGAACTTGGGCTCTCGCCCAATGTTTTCATGAACTCTTTCCATTTGTCTTTGAACACGTTCTCGGCCCATTTCGTGGTTCAAAGCTCGACGCGAATGAGCTCCCGCGTGATCCTGAGGCGATCTTTGTCCTTCCGGTTGTCTTCTGCTGTCTCGACTTTGCGCTTCTTTGTGAGCTCCTTCCCCGAATCCTCTTTGAGAACGAGCCCTTCAGCCAGCATGTTGATCGAGTGGTTCGTGACTATTGAGTCAAGCTTATCAATGATCGTCGACGTAGCCGCGCTGCTGTCGTCGACCCTGAACATCTCGATGGCCCTCATGACAACCTCCATCTTCCGCAATTTCGACTCGACAGCTTTTGGGGTCGGTGGCTTTTCTTTTGGCTGGTCCACCGCAACGAGGGGAACGGTGGGAGGAGTCGGAGTGAACTTGCTGAACTTGATGGCGAAACCCCTCCTGTAAGCGTGTCGAAGACTGTGTCCGTTGTTCAGCGGGCTTGGCCCGTCCCAGTACGACCACGCCTGCCGCACGGTCTCGCAATTGCACCACGGCCACACCACTGCGTCGAAGAATGCTTGGTCGAGCTGGCTGTCCTTGCTCTGTTGAGTGGGCGTTGATTGAGGGGGTTACTGTGGTGGCGGGGTGGTTTCTTCGGTCGCCGTCTGCGGCACACTCTCGCCCCCCCCCACATTCGCAGCTGCGGTTGTCGCGGCGGTAATCTTCAGTGCGTCGAACGCTTTCTGCAATAGCGCGAGTGCTTCTGCCTTCGCCTCCAACTCCGCTTGCATCGCGCCCTTCTCCCGCTCCAATGACTCGACCTTCTGCTCGAGGCCCTTGAACTTGATTTCTTTTTTCCCACCCTCCTCCTTATGTAAGTTAACCTCTGCCCGAAGTTGCGTGATGAGGTGCTTGGTGTTGAGTTGAAAGGATGCGTCCTGCGCACAAGATCACGAGCGGTAGGTAACTGGGCTGATGCAACCTGTTCGGATTAAGATTTAGAAGGGCCATCTTATCGAAGCTTTCGACAGCGTGGGGTTGGTCCGCATCTCGATGCCGTACTTGTCGAGCAGGTACACGTCAAGCGCCCATTTTTGGAAATCCATGTCCTTGCACAAACCGGACATCTGTGCATAAGGGTGACGCTCGCAGTCGCAAACAGTCACTCCGTCGAAGGGGTGGTCGTCACAATGGACGTAGTACATCGCAAGATCCTCGGCAATGGGCATTCGGGCGGCTTGCAGGGCCTTCAAGAAACTTTTCCCTGCGAAGAACATATGCTCCTTGTCCTGCTCATTGTTCCATTCCATCGCCTGAACCAGAACAAACGTGGTGACATTGAGAGATAGACGGGCAAAACTTGCATTCGATGATCACGCTAAGCACTCGACACATCCATACCTCGTCGAGCCACTGCTCCGCCTTTAGGAATATGTGCTCCTCGATAACCTTCAGGACCTTCGCGGGTACTTCGCTCTTCGATCTTCCAAGGTAATAGTCACCCGGTTCCGTCGTGAAACACGCTTGCAACTGGATAACCCCGCGCGGGATGCCTGTGACGTATGACCAGCGCATCTCGTTCATGTCCCATTGACCCAGCTGCGCGATGTTGTCGAGTTCACAGTTTTTGTCGGCGAGGATCTGTGCCGCAGGCCGTCGAAAGATATGTGTGACTTTCGACAGGATCCACTCCGCGCTTTTCATTGCCCAGGTAACCCATTTGGCATGAGTCGCGTACGGCAACTCGATCTTGTCCTTGTCGAAGAGGGCGAAGAACAGGTGCTTCCTTGACCAATTTTCCGGGTTGCTGAAATCCAAGGGGGACACGATCTTATCGTTGTTGTAGTGGAGCGGCACAAGGTCGAAAATGAAATGTATCCACATGAACACTGCCACGAAGCCGCACTGCCGGAAGTCCATGTGTCGAGTCAGGTACAGGTGGCCGAGCTTGTTGTCTTTGATGGTCCTCGAGTTGCGATAGGTGACCACGAGAACGTGGATCGACGATTCCCCCTTGCTGTTCGTGATGGGCGGAAGGACGTGAGTGAACATATTGTAGTAGCAGATCTCGCGGATGCTTATCCCCCTGCCCAGCATGTGATGCGCCATCAGGATCATCACCCTCACGGCCAAGGCCCTCCACAGCGACTGACTGGGGTAACTCATCGGCTCCCGAAAGTACTCCTTGGCCCAGTACGGCAGGATGTCTGAAACGAGAATGCGGAACTGCTCCTCCGTGTAAACATCGTCGAGCGAGCCCCGGTGTGGATCGACGCACTGCCTGCATTTAGTGGGCAGATACAGCGAGTACTTGGGTGAGAATTTGAGTGAAAAGTTTTAGAGTCCGGTGTATGGCAGCCTACTTACTCGAACTGAAAGTCGTGCAGCTGCCGCAGCTTGACCGCAAGAAGATATCGGGCCTCGGTGATGTCGTCCAAGGGTTTCGTTAGTGGCTCGTCGAAGAGTATGGCCTCTACTCCGCAGAAGCACGTCACCGCAGTAAGGCGCGCCAGCATCATCGGAGGGGTGCTGGTCCGACCTGTATCCAACGATGCCGCCTATTGGTCGGTCTCAGTCGACATGTATTCAACGTACGCGCGCAAGCGCCATTTCGTTATTTTCGGCCCATGCAGGTGCTCCTCGTTACGCAGCGCCTCCCTCCATCTCGGCCCCATATCGTCGCCGATCTCCCTACCGATCTCGTCCTCGTAGATCACCTGCTCCTCTTTAGGCACTCCGTTGCTTCTCTCGGGTGCCAGAATTTTACAGGTCCAAGCTTTGTAGTGCATGCTACCAGAGACATAGTTCGGCCGTGTGGAATCCTGGTCAACTCCCAGCAACGGAACCTCACACCGGAGAATCCTGCTTTTAAGTGTTCCGGTCGCCAAGTACGGATTGTCTGCGCCCGGTTGGTCGCCGAGAATGTGCGCGGCATCCTTCTCTGATATATTTGCCGTAGCAGGCCGCAGAGGGTCCGGCGGTTCGACATCGTCCGCCTCCCGTTGTTCTCCCGTCCGAACATCCTCATCGTCCGTCGCTTCAGGGACGTTCCTGGCTAAGTCCTCTCTGCTTGGTCTCGTCGAAGTGCGCCTAGGAGCGGCGGGGGCGGCTCGAGAAGCGGATGTGCCGGCTGGGGGTGGTTGGCGAACCTCAGGCGGAACAGCCCTCGCTCTCCTAAGTCGCCCACCTGTCGAGGTCGGTGCACCAGCCGAAGGTTCCGTCGAGCGGTGGGGTGTCGACGATGGTGCACGGTCAGTTGGAGCCTCGTGTGTAAAGGGGGCATTTGTTGTCGAGATGGGTTCTACGACAACAGGTATGGATTGACCTGTCGAAGGGAATTCGGTCTGTGCACCACCAACTTCAACAGTGACCGGAATACCCATCGAGCGCTGGTCCGTAACAACCGGCTGTATTACTACCGGTATGGCTCGCGACGTCGAGGTGGGCGCTGCCACCTCCGGTATGGCACGCGTCGTCGAAGGGGGCGCGGAAGAAACCGGCCTGGCTCCAGAAGACGAAGGGGGTGGTGTCGAGATGGACTCCAATTCGACAGGTATCCGTCCTTCGTCCGCCTGCCGGGAAGGCGCTGTCGTCGACGGATCGGTCTCCATCAGTGCCCACCGAAAGCTACCGTTTCTCCCTAAATCCTGGCCTGCTGAGACATTTGACGTGGCAGTCAGCAGTTGACGTGAACGTTTGACTGCGACAGACATGACCCGTCGCCCATCCGACAGCGACAGTTCGCTCGACCGACGAGGCGACAGGTCGGCCGCAGTTGACGTCTCCGTCGATTGCGACCGTCGGCCGGTTGCGAAACACGTTTCGCAACCGTCGACCGTCAGCGCCACCGTGTAGGCGATGCCCTAGCGACTTGCCACCGGGTGTAACCAGTGTTGTCGGGGGTGCACGGTGCTCGACGGCGATTGGCCAATGTCCGTCGAGCACTCTTCGACAAATGTCCCCGAAATTGCAACAGTGCGGCTGACATATATATTGGCATAAGAATACGACATTAAACCCGCCGGTTTCGGAGGGTTTTTTGGCCTGGTCAGCCGGGAATTTCCGGGGGCCCGGAGGGATTCCGCGGGTTTTTCGTTTTGCCTCAATTCCCTTTGTGCCAGGGCGGGCGGGGCGGCATGTGCTGACGTCACCCGTGTGTATATAATCGGGTAACTAATTTCGCAGCACCTCGGTAAGAGCTTCGCGAGACGCACTGGGACGTCGCCACCGTCCGGACCATGTCTGACACTTTTCTGTCAAAAATTGGTCCGGACTACCCTGCTGACACCGTCCGAACGGCATATCGGACCGTCCGATTTTTCTGCGCTGTCATTGGCGCACGATGTGTTGAAAATCTCACCCAATACGACGCCGCCGATTTTTGGAGGCGAGCCCTCACGACACTTTACGAGTGCAGTAATGCCTGTTACATTCTGTAACGAAATTTAAAAAAAAAAAAATCGGGTTTCAAAAAAGTTCCACATCTGTGGTCCGGACGGGCTATTGTCCGGACCTGAGTCTCAAACGTCCGGACGGAGCTCTGTTCGGACGTTTTGGGGGCTCCGTCCGGACATTTGACGAAAACGGAAAAAGTTACACGCCCTTACTGGACAAACGGTCAAACATGTAGAAGAGGACTGACCTCCCTGGACCGAAAGATGTCACTGACACATGTTTCAGGACCATGAGCGCATCAATACCATTGAGGATCAGAACAAACAGCGTCCTTACAGGGAACATCAGGATTCAGCAGCATCAGCACCAGTACCACCAGTACCAGCAAGCTACACTATCTCCACTGCCTTTGCACGGTGCATTTCAGATTCAATAAGAGACTGCTTATATCGAAGCATGATGAATCCCAGCTGGTCCAACGCAAAGTCGATCGCGTAAGCAGCAGCGAAGATACCAATCAAGATGGAGAACACAATGTAGCACCACTGCAATCGACGAAGTGGGGATACGGGAAGGAAGGTGGGAAAGATAAGTTAGGGGGAAGGAACATGAGAGGAAATCGAGGGAACAAAACTAATGTAGCCACTTCACGAACGGCAACAAAATGAAGGGGGGGGGGGGGGGTGGAGAACGGAGGGAGAGAGGCACTGGTTACTAACAAGCAGCAAGATATAACACGACACGAGCGATACAGTACAAGGAGACACACAGATTACCAGGAAGAAACCAAACAGTTAACTTGCAGAGTCAACCGTGTGAGGCTCCTCAAAAGACGGTTGCGGGACTCACATGGAGGTTGTAGCCGAATTGGCTGCTTGCAAGGTCAATCCCAAGGTACGTGTTGCTCCAGGCCATCGCGACAATCATGAGTCAAGCCAACCACACACTATGCACGCAGCAACTTACATCGAGGTTGTAGCCGAATTGGCTGCTAGCAAGGTCAATCCCAAGGTACGTGTTGCTCCAAGCCATTGCCACAATCGCCAGTCCCACCACCCAATGCAGCGCGAACCAATAGCGTCGCGACACGTGTCCCTTGACCGGCCTCAGCTGGCCTATGATTGGCTGGAGGACGATCAGCAGCAGCACGGCCAATCCCAGCCTGCCATGTGTCGACTGCAGGGAGCTCGACCCTGATTGGATGAATGCCATGATGATTCCGACCAATGATAGCACGACAGCAAGGAGCATGATCCACTTGTGGGCGTTGAATGCTTGAGGCTTGGAAATCCAGGGTTTTACAATGGTTAACCCAGGGCCTATGGCCACTGGGGTAACTGCCCCTGCAAAACCTGCTGCCCCTGCTGCTACTGGCTTTTCTCCTCCATCTCCTGCTACCCCCAGTAAAAGCCTGTCCGGTTGAACCCTGTCCAGTTCTTTGCTTCCTTGCAAAATGGGCTCAACTGACCCATCCCCTCCCTTTGCTGCTTCTTCCCTTGACACTGCTGCTGCCGCTGCATCTGCAGGCTTATCCGCCAGAAATATCCTCGATATAAGCATGGCAGCAGGCATGAGAATGCCAAACGCTATAGTGAGAATCCACCCGTGTGCTGCGTAGACTGTCTCTGGATTGGTTTTCGATTTCCCTGACTCGACTGTGCCTGTAACGAAGTTGATTCTAATGGAGCCTCTGGTGGGTGGAGGGTGGTGAGAGGGAGGGGGGAAGGAGGAAGTGGGGGATTGGTTTTCGTTTCCCTGATTCGACTGTGCCTGTAACAAAGTTGATTCTAAAGGAGCCTCTGGCGGCTAGTGAGCAGGAAATGGGGGGCGTGGGAGGTGGAGAAGGGGGGAGTGGAAGGGAGATGAGGTGAGACAAACAGAACAGTATCAATTTCTGTCAATAGGAACTCTTGTGCCTCAAAAGTCAACTCTTGAGGCGCCTAAGAAACCGGGGCAGCGCAGGGGTCCGCCCAAGCATACTATAGCCATATCTTTCCCCCCCATGCCTTTGAGTCGACTCAGAAGCAGAAACCGGGGCAGCGCGGGGGCCCGCACAAGCATACTATTGCCATATCTTCTCCCCCCATGCCTGCCCACTCACTCATTGGGCCCGTAATCGGCCAATTCCTGCGAGTCAGAGCGCGAGAAGGCCTATTGGCTTCCCATGCCTGTAACCGACTGGTTGGGCCAAGCAAGCCCCTTTCTCCCCAGCACATGCCACTCACTCATTTGGCCCGTGGTCCTCCCAATGCTGTGAGTCAGAACGAGAGAAGTCCAAGAGCACCCAAGCCCAACCTAACCATACTATAGCCCCTAACCTTCTTCCCCCCCTGCCTTGCCACTCACTCGTTGGGGCCGTGGTCGTCCAGTTGCTGCGAGTCGGAGCAAGAGAAGGCCCAGAGCACGCTGGTGCTCACCCATGCTAGCATGTCACTCACTTTTCGAACACAGAACGGATATGCCCCCCCTTTTAAGCTGGCCCACTCACTCATTTGGCCCGTGGTCGTCCAGTTGCTGCGAGTCGGAGCGAGAGAAGGCCCAGAGCACGCTGGTGGCGCCGCTGCTGCTGATGGGGACCACTCCCACTGAGAGGGGTCGCTCAAAGCTGCAATTGTGTTGCGGGTGAGGTGAGGTGAAGCCACGGGGGGACAAAAAGTAGGCAGAGTTGAATAGGAGGGAGGCAAGGCGAGAGAATGCGAAGAGCATGTTGGTGGCGCCACTGCTGCTGATTGGGACAGAACCCACCGAGAGGGGTCGCTCGAAGCTGTGGGCGGGAGGTGAAGGGTGGATAAGATGGGGGAAGGGGGAGGGGTCGTCGGGCTTAGACCATGAGATGGCCCAGAGCACGCTTGTGGCGCCGCTGCTGCTGAATGGGACAGACCCCACTGACAAGGGGCGCTCGAAGCTGCGCGCGGGGGGGGGGGGGAGGGGGGGAGGAGTGGGGGTGGTGTGGAGGATGGGGGAGAGGAAGGGAGGCAAGGGTGTGCGGGCTTAGACACTGAGAAGGCCCAGAGCACGCTGGTGGCGCCGCTACTGCTGATGGGCACGGCTCCCACCGAAACTGGCCGGTCGGAGCTGGGAGAGGTGATGGAGGATGGGGGAGAGGGGGGGAGCAGGGAGGGGTGTGCGTGCTTAAACTCTGAGAAATGATGCTGCACGGTGTTTTTGAGAATCCTCAAACACACCATGCTTAGACTCTGAGAAACCCCAGAGCATGCTGGTGGCGCCGCTGCTGATCGATCGGGACCGCACCCACTGAGAGGGGGCGCTCAAAGCTGGGGGCGCGGGGGGGAGGTAAGGATGGGGGGTGGGGAGAGTGGGAGGGGTGCGCTGTGCTCTCCTGGTGGCGCCATTGCTGCTGATTGGAACCGATTCCACTGAGAGGGGCTGCTGATTGGGACCGATTCCACTGAGAGGGGCTGCTGATTGGGACCGATTCCACTGAGAGGGACTGCTGATTGGGACCGATTCCACTGAGAGGGGCTGCTGATTGGGACCGATTCCACTGAGAGGGACTGCTGATTGGGACCGATTCCACTGAGAGGGACTGCTGATTGGGACCGATTCCACTGAGAGGGACTGCTGATTGGGACCGATTCCACTGAGAGGGGCTGCTCTAAGCTGGGGTGAGGATAGGGGTGGGATCAGGTTGGGGTAGGGGAAGGGAAAGGACCAAGGGAAAGGCATGATCTGGCCTGAGATCGCCCAGAGCACGCTGGTGGCGCCATTGCTACTGATGGGGACGGTTCGCACCGCAAGGGAGGGGTGGCTTGGAGCTGCAGTTGCGTTGCAGGTGTGGTGCAGAGGGAAGGAATGAAATGGGGAGAGATGGAAGTGAAGAAAGAGAGGCGAGGCAAGAGAAGGCCCAGAGCACGCTGGTGGTGCCGCCACTGCTGCTGCTGCTGCTGATGGGGGAGGGGACTGAACTGAACGCACTGCGAGGGGGCGTTCAAACACTGAATCCGACTGCTCAGGCTGAATAAGGAAATCTGAAAAACACCCCACACTCACGTGATTGTTGTTCGGCCATTTGCTGTGGTGGTCGTCGTGTTGGTCAGCTCGAACGATGACGTCAGCGCCACGTCAGACAGGCCGTAGCCGCTCATGTGATAGGCTCCCACCGCCGCCCCGTTGGCGAGAGTGCCAGGTGGCAGATTCCCAATGGCTGCGTCAGCGGGGTACATCTTGCTGCTCTTGGACCATCCGATCGCCACCCAACCAGACGTCGCCACTTCAGCAGCCATTGCTACTGTGTTTGCCCCGGTCTTCCAATGGAGGATGAAACTGGAAAAAAGGGAGGGCAAGAAGGGGGTGAGGGGAGAGATGGGGGAGAGCAAGGGCAGGAAAGGGCGTCAAGAAATCACTCCAGCAGCCATAGCTACTGTGGTTGCCCCCAGCTTTCTAATGAGGATGAACCTAACAGGAGTCGTGAAGTGGATGGGGGGAGAAAAGAGAAGGGGGGCGGATTGCTGAGAGGGACTTTTGAGAATTCTCAAAAGTCACTCCCATATAGATGGGGGGGAGAAAAGAGAAGGGGGGGGGGATTGCTGGTGAACGGGGGGGGCAGGAAGGAGCTATGGGGGGAGAGAATAAGGGTGGGGAGGATTAAAATCAAGAATTTGAGTGCAGGCTGCAGATAATATGTGATTGTAATGAGGGCTGGTGCACGTAGCAGGTAGCTGTGATACTATCTGTGTCAATGAAAACAGTATGAGGGATGGGCGAGGTGAAAAGCATGTGAGTGGGTGGGATGAGTTTTGAGACACTTTTTGAGGCGCCTCAAGAGCATGTGAGTGGGTGGGATGAGGTTTGAGACACCTCCAAACATGTGGATTTCTGAGGCGTCTCAAAACGTGTAGACCATGACACACTATCTGCGTGCATGATTCTATTCTGAGAGGAATGGGCAAGGTGACGAGGATATGAGTGGGGTGTCCGTTAGCTGATTAAGAAACATTCCAGAGAGCAGCAGTTTAAGGGAGAAGGTTTAGCAAAGGTGAAAACAGTTGTAGCATGAGCAAGGAGGAATGGGCAAGGTGACGAGGATATGAGTGGGGTGTCCGTTGTGGCTACGAGGGGGCGGGTGGTGTGGTGGTATGAGAAACCAGCTTGATTATTCTTCACTGCCCCTCCACTCACCACTGCCCCTCCACTCAATCTCTCCCTTTGAGCTGCACGGAGCAGGCATATCCCGGCAGAGTGGACGGCTGGCACGCCTGGTTAGCACTCCCAGACGCAGCAGCAGCAGCTAATAATGTGACTTCTGAGTCGACCAGACAGCCACTTTTTCCTCTCACTCACTCTTTTCCTTTGAGCTGCACGGAGCAGGCATATCCCGGCCCGGCAGCGTGGACGGCTGGCACGCCTGGCTGCCAGAGTGCTTTGTCCTGGCTTGGCTTGGATACACCCAAGAACAACAACAGCTTGCCTTGCAGAGGTCACTCACTCTTTTCCCTTGAGCTGCACGGAGCAGGAATAAACCGGCAGGGTGGACGGCTGGCACGCCTGGCTGCCACTCCCAGACGCAGCAGCAGCTGCTGACGTGGACCCCGATGATTGGTTCTCATCTTCCTCCTCTTCACCATCATCATCGTCGTCGTCATCATCATCATCATCACCCCCATTGTCGTCGTCATCATTGTCGTCATCATCTGAGATTGAGGTGCCAGCAGCAGGTGCAGTCTGACACGTGAAGTCCACATTCATTGAACCTCTGGTTGTTGGGGGGAACGGGGAGAGGGAGGGGGGGGGGAGAAGACGGTGGCATAAGGGCAGGCGCACTCATTGAGTCTGACACGCAGGTGCAGTCTGACACGTTGAGTCCACATTCATTGAACCTCTAAAACTCACTCTCTCCCATATGCATTCATAAAAACTCTGAGCCTCACTCCTTGCCATCTACACTACATTCATCCAACCTCAATAACTCACACGTTGTTGCCGTGAAAGGCCAGCTCAGTGGATTGAGGTCGTTTTTGAGGCGCCTCAAAAACGACCTCCTTGCCATCTACACTACATTCATCCAACCTCAATAACTCACGCGTTGTTGCCGTGAAAGGCCAGCTCAGTGGATCCAGACTCAGAGAAGACTCAGAGAAATCTAGTTTTGAGGCGCCTCAAAACTCTGAGCCTCACTCCTTGCCATCTACACTACATTCATCCAACCTCAATAACTCACACGTTGCTGCCGTGAAAGGCCAGCTCAGTGGATCCAGACTCAGAGAAAGCCCAGATGAGGCTGTTGGTGCCGCTGAAATTTACCCAAATCCCTCCCCCCCCCCCCCCCCCCCGCCTCCTCTTCTCCTCACCCACTCCTTCACTCACTCCCTCCTTCACTCACGCATTGTTGCCGTGAAAGGCCAGGTCAGTCGATCCAGACTCGGAGAAGGCCCAGATGAGGCTGTTGGTGCCAGTGAAGCTGACTGGTACGGCCCCTCCGTCCCCTTCTGACCGGGCGAACCTGCAGAGCAGGCAGGAGGGGAGAAGAGAGTGCGTTGGAAGGGGAAAAGCCCAGACGATGCTGCTGCTGCCACTGAAGATCACTGGTATGGGCCCTCTGTCTCCTTCTGATTGAGAGAACCTGCAAGCAGGAGAGGGTTGGTTGGAGAAGGTTTGAGATGGACCTACGTAGCCTTGGGATAGGAAGAACCTGTGGGCCGGAGCAGGAGGACCAGAAAGTGAACACGAAGGAAGCGTTTTAGTCGACTAAACAACCGCCTCATCACTTACGTAGTCTTGGGATAGAAAGAACCTGCGGGCAGGAGCAGGAGGAGCAGGAAGAGCAGAAGGATCAGCAGGAGCAGGAGGAGCAGGAAGAGCAGAAGGATCAGCAGGAGCAGAATCAGCTGAAGAGCTGTTGGAGCAGGAGCAGGAAAGCAATCATAAGCAGCAGAGGGAACACCATATCAATCGTACAGGCCTCTACCATACCCCTCACTCACCTCATGCCACTATCCTCACCTCATAATTGTGCCGCCACCATTACTCGCAGCTGTCAACTCAGGCGTCCCAATCGAGAACCCATCAGAAGGCGCCACGTCAGACTGGCTGTATCCGCTGATGTGATACGCGCCGACGCTGCTTCCCGGAAGGTTCCCGACCACGCAATCCGCGGGGTACATACGGCCGCGGTTTGCCGTCCAGCCGACGGAGAACCAGCCGGACTCGGCCGCACTGGCGGGTTTGGCTTCTAGTGCGAACTGCAGGCGCGAGGCGTTGAGGGTCCAGTGCAGCATTAGGCTGGGAGGAGAGACCGGGGAGGGAGCGTGGGGAGACAGACAGAGGGGGACAGGAGGGGAAGGAGGGGGGAAGGAGAGGGGAAATGGGAAAGAGAACGGAGGGTTGGGGATGGGCAAGAGGGAAGAGAGTGAACAATGGACGGAGAACCAGCCGGACTCGGCACCACTGGCAACTATTTGCTATGATAGAAGCCGGTCTCGATCGCGTCCATCATCTCGGTCGGTCTGGTTTTCTAGTGATTCGACGATCCAGATGTCTTTCTGATTGTACCCGTCGTTCCGTTGAGTCAACGCTAGTCAAGTGAAAGAATCCAGAGGCGGCGCATATAACCGAGTGAGTTACTGCCCTGAGCGGTGCTTCGGATTGTTTCCGTATGTTAATGAAGTCACTTACATGCAGCAGCACTCTCGACTTACCCATTTCCCGACAGATCTACGGAATTCGCGAAGCCTGGAAGGGACGACGGTTCGCAAGACGAGGCGTAATCTACGGAGGCACCGACCACCAAGACGACCATCATGGCACGTGCCAAGCACGCTTCGACCACGTGCGCCGTTGATCGAATCATGGTGGGTCGCCGGGTTCGTGGTTTCGCATATCGATTCATGATGATCTCTGGCAGAAGTGAAGGGGGGTTATGACGAGATTGTTAGGAAGCGAATAAGAATGCGGACCGAGTCGCAGCTCGTAATGGAATATTTACTTTTTGCAACACAGCAGTAAAATGAGCGACTCTGCTCTGAATGCTCTACCGAGCGCGGCGAAATAGGACCGTGTGCGGTTGGCTTCACGGTTACGTGCGGTTGGCTTCATGGCTTCATGGAGACTGAGGGTTCGGCCTGGGGAAGGCGGGATCTGTTTGGATCTAGACCGCTAATTGAAGGAAAATGCATTTATGCCGCGCTGATTTGGGTTAGTTGTGGGTATACACCCTCTTTCTCGCCGTTGTGAATTTGGTTATAGTGAAGTCAAGATGGGAAAAGCGCGGTTAACGGTGGTTTAATTAAGTATCGGTACGGTTCAATCAGATAAATCAAAGATAACAAGGTTTTCCACCAGTTCGGCACAGTTCAGTGTAACGAGAAAGAGGGTGTAGTTGGGTTGAGTGGGTACGGGCCGATGGAGGAGAGGGAGTGAGCGTTTAATTTTGCTCAATACCCTACCCAACCGTTCTAAACTGTTACTTGAAATTAGAATTGCTCAGTGCATCCCACTGACGGTGACAGCGGGGCTTTATCGAAGGGAGGCTGAATTGACTGTGTGAAGTGCGTGGCAGCGGAGGCGACGCGCGTGCAGGATGGTAATTGGCTGTTGCCAACGAAGGGATGGGCATGTGCCCGTAACCACAAATGACCAATGCGACCCGGGTCCTGAAGGCTTCGACACATATTACAGATAGCGTCGGTGGTGTTTGATTGGACAACAGTAGCGTCGCGCGCTATCAATGGCAACGCTGCACACCACACGCAAAAAGACCGACGACCATGCTTCTCATCGCTATCCCGTAGAGGCTGTTTCTCTAAATCTTCTTCATGTATGTTTCCTTTCACCATGTCTCTAAGGAATTTTTCAGATTCCTTAATTGGTCACTCGACTTTTATAAGACCAGGCTCGGTCCGACGACCTCGCCTCCCGAGCGTACCTCGTGTCGCCTTCAGGATTTGGCAACCCCGGGCCAGAAACCAACCATCGTGACCCTGCGGACCCCGCCTGGCTAGCTAGTTATTTGATTAGTAGGTGTAACCACTTCCGCGATATTGCATTCTGCACACTCTTTCACCTGACAACTCATAACAATGTCAAAATCCTGACCACTAGATCATTTTAAAAAAACGTCAGTGACAAAAAACACTGTTTTTCCTTACTGGGGGTAAGTTGTTTCGTGTACAATCATGAATTTCGAAAATGCAAGTTCGGCAGGTTTGCTTGATACCAAACCAGCCTCGCATCACTTTCAGTTTCCCTTCGCCAACCTGCACCCAAGCTCGTGTTCTCGAGGTTCTCGCCTTGCTAAGGTAGTCGCTATATTATTGTCAAAATAGTAGGTAATACAGAGTAGAAACATGGGGCCTAGGCTTAGTAGCCTAGGCCCTAACTTAGTATCGAGCGGGTTTTCACCTAGGGTGAGAGTCGAGTGAGTTGAGAGAGGAATTGTGAAAAGGTGTGTTTCACTATAGGTTCAGGGGTACATATAGCATAGAAACACAATAAGGTGCACCACCAACAAAAGTTTACATAACTACACTAACTACAACTACAAGCAATTATAAAACATGACAAAGTATTTCGACACGCCCCCATAATGCTTGTAGGTAGGTGTGTAGTTATAGCAACAGCAGGTACCCCTACCATCTCCTCACCCTCCTCCTTCCCCTCCCCCACACTGCTGCAGAAGCAGCAGAGAAAGGGGGAAGAGAGGAGAGGTGGAGGGACGGCTGCTTGTTGCCTCACACCCGCCACCCCGGTACCACTCCCCCTCCTCACCCACATCCTCACACCCTCCTCCCCCAGCGGCAGCTGCAGCGGTGGGACTGAAAGAAGGAGGAGGGAAAGGGAGAGAGTTGACCCCACGCTCCAACACCCTCCACCCCCATACCCTCCTCCCCACGGCTGCAGGGAGACAAGAGAAAGGGGGGGGTGGGAAGGAAGAAAGCCGCAGAGCGGCGAAGAGGCGTCGGTGCAGATGGGTCAGGGGCGGCAGCAGGGAGTGCAGGGGCGGAAAGGCCCGTCGCGGGCCAGTGCCACGGGGCGCACGACGGGTAGAATAAAAGGGCCCGATCGTGTGCCTCGGGGCACACGACGAGCAGGGCACCATCGTGTGCCACGGGGCGCACGATGGGCAGTAGAAGGGCACCGTCGCGTGCCACGGGGCGCGCGACGGGCAGGGGGAGTCACACGCCCGTGGGCGGGACAAGGTAAAAATAAAAACCGTCACGCGCCCTAGGCGCGCGACCGTAAAATCTTAGCAGCGGAAGTAAAGCGGGCCCACAGGCCAGGACGAACACTAAGCTCCGATAACATGTCAAAATAGTAGGTAATACAGAGTAGAAACATGGGGCCTAGGCTTAGTAGCCTAGGCCCTAACTTAGTATCGAGCGGGTTTTCACCTAGGGTGAGAGTCGAGTGAGTTGAGAGAGGAATTGTGAAAAGGTGTGTTTCACTATAGGTTCAGGGGTACATATAGCATAGAAACACAATAAGGTGCACCACCAACAAAAGTTTACATAACTACACTAACTACAACTACAAGCAATTATAAAACATGACAAAGTATTTCGACAATTATCTCGCGTCCTTCATTGTACCGTCAGTCCATATTGTATCCCCTTCGTTATTCGTTTTTCCGCGCAACTCTGATTGATAACTCGTACCGTAACAGGGTCAGTGCACGATGCCCTAGGATACGGCACAACGGCAGCGCCAGCATGCGCACACATGGGGATTCGAACCCGAAGAATATGCTATGATACCATTGTGAAAATAGGAAAACAGGAATGAATGAACTATGAATGAAAGGAGTACAAATATGAAACCCTAACTGGGTTGTACCCCCTATGGGATACCCCACTACAGCCTACACAGCAGTATAAGCTATAGATATGTTCTGACACACCCCCATAGGCAAAGTGGGGGAGAACAAGGGGTCACAAGACCAGTCAAGCAAGACAAAGCAAAGCTCAGGGTGGATCACAAAGTCACCACACAGTCCGAGCACAAGAGCAAGGCCAAAGGCCAGTTCACAAGCAAGAGTACAGACATATATATAAAGCTAGACAAGCAAGAGCAGGTATATATATATGTCACAGTACAAGTGAAGTCAAGAGGAGAGCAAGTGAGGCAAGACAGACACAAGACCCAGCTGGGTGCAGAAGCGCTGATGGTCACAAGGCGCAAGTGCCTTGGTGAACACATCAGCAGTGTTGGCCTCAGAGGCCACGTACGCAAGTCGCAACTGACCACGCTGCTGCAGCTCACGAGCAAGGAAGTAGCGGAGAGCAATGTGCTTCGTTCTGTGCTCCAAGCGCTGCTCTCGACACAAGGCCAGCATAGCCTTGTTGTCTACGTACAGCACTGGAGGAGAACGAGGCGGCTCTCCAAGGTCAGTCAGCAGGTAGGTGAGCCAGCGAAGCTCCTGTGCAGCCATGGCCCCGGCGTAGATCTCAGCCTCACAACTGGAGCCGAGAACCGAAGACGAGCGAGTAGACCGCCACGAGACAGAGCCGGAACCAAGGCTGAAGGTGTAACCCTGTGACGACCGCTGCGTAGCCTGGTCGTCAGCCCAAGAAGCGTCCGCGTGGCCGGCAAGGACCACTGGACTCCGCCCTCCAAGCACTAGCCCCATGCCTGACGTACTGCACAGGTAGCGCAATACCCTCTTCGCTGCAGCCATGTGCTCCGGTCTGTGTCTCCCAGGAGCAACATAGCGTGCAAGAATGCTCAGAGGGTATGCAAGGTCAGGTCGTGTGCAGGTCATCAGGTACATGAGGCAGCCAACAAGCTCCGCATACGGACCACTCGACTCTACGGACTCATCCGAAGGCAGAGCTGAGAGTGAGTGGCGAGTAGGCAGAGGAGTGGCCTGAGGCGAGGAGTACGTGAAGCCGAAGCGCTGAAGGACCTGCTGCACCATGTGTGACTGAGTCAAGGTAATGGTGCGGCGTGCTCTGTCCCGAGTGATCTGCAAGCCAAGGTAGCTGCGCAGTTCACCCAGGTCTGTGCACGTGTGTCTCTTCAACAGCTCGGACTTCACGTAGGCGAGTCCAGCAGTGTCCGCTGTGGCAAAGACCAGGTCGTCGACGTACACGAGGATGTAGAACGGCGGCAGGGAAGTGTCGGTGCGAAGAAACAGCGACGGGTCAGCAGTAGAAGGAGCAAACCCAAGAGCCGCAAGCGTAGTCCTCAGTGTGTCGTGCCACTCACGCGGTGCCTGGCGGAGACCGTAGACTGGCCGTCGGAGGCTCCACTGGGTGCCAGGAGGGAAAGTCCCAGTGAAGCCAGGTGGACGGCGAAGCCAGATCTCCTCGTGCAGGCTACCCTGCAAGAACGCAGTGCTGAAGTCGAGAGAGTGAAGCTCGTAGTCGCGCTGAGCGGCTATGTGCAGCAGCACCCGAAGAGTAGTCATCTTCGGGGTGGGGGAGAAGGTCTGAAAGTAGTCAACTCCCTGCCGCTGACTGAAGCCACGAGCAACGTACCGTGCCTTGAAGACAGGTGGAGAGCCCGGCGGCCGCTTCACCCTGAAGATCCACATGCCACTGACGATGTTCGCCCTAGGAGGGGGAACCGCGTCAACGTAGGTGCCTGTGGACTTCCAGGAAGCCATCTCTGCATCCATAGCTGCCTGCCACTGAGAGGAGTAGGGACCCTCTACGGCCTCCGCGTAAGAACGCGGAGTCGGGATGTCTAGTGCATCCGGGTCTCCCTCAGGGGCAAGCAGTACAGACGCGAGATGAGGTGAAGCAGCCGCTAGACACAGTAACTCCTCCTGCCTGTCCTCTAGGACGTCCGTGCCAAGAGCACACT